GAAAGAACTTCTTGCTTGGCAGGTAGCGCAGGACAGGGATGCCAGAGGAGGCCGAATCTCATCCTTGGAGCTTTTCCTGCTAAGTTAGGCAAAGCCAGGGCTGACCAAATCTAGTGCCGGGGATGGTCCTGCTTCAAGTGGTCGGCTGAGCCAGTGATCTCCAGAGCCCCTTCCAACCGGCAGTTCTATGACCGCCAAGGATGCAGTCTACACTCAAGCTAGGTACAGGTGTGATACTTGCAGGTCCAAACAACCTGGACATTGGTCATCTCCTGACGCTAAACTTATGAAGCTTATGGCTTCATTCTGCCATTTCTTGGTCAGTCCATTCATTCTGTTCCTTGAAGACTTTTATTCCCAGTTTGCTAACAGAATATCTTCCAGAGTAACCCAGCAGTGGTTGTGCTATGGGCTGTTGTGTCTGTTTTGGGCCCCCAGATCCAATCCCCTCTTGGTCTGTAGAGCTTGCTGCATTTTTGCTTTGATGCTGAGTTGCGTCTTTGAGACGTGCCTCTGGTTAATATTCCAGGGGCAGCATCCCCTCAAAGCCAATCCCAAGGACTCTGCAACCAGTGTGATTTTTTCTTGATTGGTGCATTCAGTGTCCACTTAGCTCTCCCCTCCCAAACAGGAAGCGACAAAGCAAGGCTGTTACTGAATTGAATAGAAGGAAGTCTCCACACTTACGCAAAGAAATTTGGCAGAAGTTAGATAGCGAGTGAAACAACAAGTGCTGCTGCAGCGATTGTAGAAATTGCAGAACCTGGTAGCTGTCTGGGGAAGAATTACAAAGCTTTCTGTGAAGGATTAATTCTTCCAAACCATTGCTTTGCATGTAGGCACAGTAAGTATATGAACAAATGCACCTTTGAGAAAGTTACATGCTTGGCATTTAGATGTCAGCCTCGTTTAGTAGGGTATGTTAAACTTGAACGATGCCTGTCGTGTCTTTGTGTGTGGTGCAAATTTCCCAGACCGCTGGGAATGGCAGGTAGCAGTGAGACACACTACTTCTGCTCACCATTCAATGCAGCTTGGCAGACTGGATGAACAAATGGAGCAGCTGAGTTTCATGGAGGGGGGATTAAATTTGGAGTCTCTGTGCATAGGGTTCTGGAGCAGGGGAACTATTTGCAATAACAAGAATTGGTTTTTATCTTTTTGAAGCCTCCGATCAGCACCCCACGTCGCTCTGACTCTGCTATCTCCGTCCGTTCATTGCACTCTGAGTCCAACATGTCCTTGCGCTCGACGTTCTCACTTCATGAGGAAGAGGAGGAGCCAGTAGGTATTTGGGATTGTCTGAAGGAGCAGGGTTAGGAAGTTCAGTGTCATGAGAGTACCTTAGTGGACTGTTGCGAGTATGCAGAGCTATCACGGACAGATTTTGGTGGTGTCTGAGTCTTTGGTGATTAGGAGCCTGGCTGTCAGTTTTAAATTTGGTTTTAATCTGATTTTAATTTTGTTGTCACCACTGACTTCTGCAAGTCACTTTGCTTCCTTGTGTGTCATTTCCCCACGGGGAAAGAAGGGACAATGGTGAGGCTTTTCTGCCTCTCAGAAAAGCTGTAAGTCTTTGCAAAAAGTCATGCATGACCCGCTGGCTCTGTTGCAGAGCAGTAGGGGGTTGCAAAGCTTTAGGCTGGTGATCTAGCCCTAGACAGCAAGAATAACACAAGTATAATGATTTTACACAATTGTAACAACACAATCGTAAAGCCCAGGAGGGTGCGAGGAATTGTCCACGTGTGACTCTTTGTAGGGGGAGGACACTTTCAAGCAGAGCTTAGCTTGTGACCCAGTGACTAACGCCAGACTGGACACATAAAAGATCAGGAGGCTTCTTGCCACAGATCTGGGATAAAAGCGCGTTTCATATTTAGGAACTCAGAGGGTGGTGTTTGCAGTTTTGAGAGCAGCACAGGATGAAAAGGCAGACTGAACTGCAGTGATTAATTTGGAACGCTCCGAAACGCGGAGCCCTGCTCCCGTGGGGAGCTGAGAACCGTGCTTCTTGGGGAAGTCGAGCTCAGAGCCAGTGCTCCGGCAGTCTTAGAGGATAAAAAGAACTGCAGAGATGGGCCTATTTTGGTAGAAGCAATGTTGTTTCTGCTCCACAAGGGAATGAAAGAGCCCTTCCTTCAGGGCGTTTCAAAAATACAAAAGGGCAAACTGTTTTAAAACTGTTTCTAAACTTCAGGCTTAGTACCTGGGACATTTTCAACAGCACAATGTTCAGTCCAGCTAAGCAAAGCGTGCCAGACAGAGCAGCTGCCGCAGTTCTGGTGACGTGAGTCTTTCTAGCAAAAAAATTGGTCTGTGCAGTTTGCTGTCAGGGATCCTGATCCTGCCAGATGCCAATAGCCCGAAATTTGTGATGAGTTGAGAGTCTCTAGCCATGCACAAGTTCTCCCCTGCCTCTTACATACTGGAAATCAGCAGATCCAGACAAAAGTTTATTTGGAGATAATGAAAGTCTTAGTGTGCCCTGTGCCCCTTCATGCTCGCCACTCGAGAGCTATGTTCCCTGTGGAGAGCTGGAGGCTCTTGCCTTTGTAGAGGCAGGCCCTGCACTGACTCTTGTGCTGCCTCTGTCCCTTTCTCTCCTCCTCTTCAGGAGCCACTGGTGTTTGCTGAACAACCGTCTGTGAAGCTGTGCTGCCAACTGTGCTGTAGTGTGTTTAAGGATCCAGTCATCACAACCTGCGGGGTAAGGAAGTACTTTTCTAAATCCAGAGCTTGGGCTCCACAGATGACCTCTGTGACTTATAGCAAGGGCCCTGACTGTCCCCAGTGACTGTCAGCCTGAGTGAGCAAACATGAGGCAGTGTTCGACCGGGAGATCTGGGCTAGCATGGCAGGCAGAGATGCTGATGGGGATGCGTTAGGTTTCCCTCAAGGCAGCTCAGAACCGATCTGTAGTGCAGGGCACTCTGCAGGTAGCCAGCAAAGACTGGGGCTTGCTCAAAACTGGGCTGCCTTTCCCAGGAGAGCTATACTATACTGTCAGCCTCCTTATCCCGGCCTAAATAATTTTCTCTAGTGTGGCTTCAGCTAGGTTTGCAACTCTCTATTCCCTGTCCTGAAGGGCTCTGCAGAGCGCTATTGCCTCCTGGGAATAGCTGTCGCGTTCTAGCCCAGAAACAGCAGTTCTTCAGTTGGGAAGAAAGTGTTTCCTTTAAAACAAGAACGGCTTGAAACTTAATTTAGTTAATGCTTGGAAAGGGATTTGAGATCATCTAGTGAAAGGCACAGAGTATTATGAATATTCTTCAGTATTCCATTTGATTAGGATTTTAGTAGAAACTGTATATTATTCCTGCTTCCGTGCTACATGTGAAGAAAGATGGCTCTGTGATACTGTCTCTCTAATGCTTCTAAAGTGCTGCAAACTCCTAGCATGGAGCAGTAGCAACAAAAGCAGAAAGCAGGATTGTTTATTGCATTGGGAGTGCTACACCCAAAGGTGTTGGAAGTTGGTGTAGTTCTTCTGCTGCCATTTCAGTAACCAGCTCTTCATGGAGAAATTGAGATTTGCTGGTTAATGTGAGGAAAAAAATTCTGCTGCAGGAAGCAGACTGGCTTCATTTGCAGCCCTGGCTTGGCAGCTCTGGAGAGAGCACCATGCAGCTGTGCAGGGCAGGAAAAGGCAGCATGAGCAGGGCTGCAGATAACAGCTCTGTAAGAGTGACTTGCAGCGTTTCCAGCACTGCTGCCAAGCTCTGGCCCCATCCCCGGGGAATGCAGCTGAGGAGGCTCCAGGGAACCCGCAGGGCAAGTTTGTGACCAGGGAAATTCTGGAGCCTTTGTTCCTTTCTTTGTGTTCCTTAGCATGTTCGATTGAATTTGCTACTTTTACCATACATTTCTGCTGTAAGCATAGAAATGGAGAGAGCTATTTAAAGTAGCATGATTTACAGTGCATGTAACGGGGATTCCAAACCAGCCGTCTCATCCACCTGACAGCAGGACAGCTTCAGTTAAGTTAGAAGAGCTACGCAGCAGTACATGTGATGGGCTAACTGGCCAAGGAGAGGGAGAGGCCGAGGCCAGACTGGTGCTCTTCCCCTTGAAGGCTTCGCAGGGAAATGAGAGGAGTAACATGTTTCTGCACCACAGTGGAGACTGCATGCAGCCTTCGAGGGGCAGGAGTATCAGAATGTGGCAGAACATGTCCATGGCCCTGTTTTGCATCTGATCCTGAACAATGAAGACTGCTCAGAGAGCTTCAAAGCATGTCCTTAATATTTCTCCAGAACGGGTCCTGGGTTGGACTCTTAGCTGCCTGAGCAATGCTCTCCCCTGTAGGCTGGTTTAAGTCTAGTGATGCAGACTCAAGGGCATGCCGAGTTATAAAGCAGGCAGAATAGCTAACTGCTGAGGCCCCTGTGTCACAGGTTTTGGTATCTCCCACCTTGCCCATCCTTAGCCACAGGGAAGCATTTGTCTGATACCGTTGGCTGACACTGCTGTTCCTCTTTGTCTCCCCAGCACACATTTTGTAGAAGATGTGCCTTAACATCTGGTGAGTATAGAACTGTTCTTGTGTGACACGCTCCAGATGCTATTATTTTCTGGTTTCTTTGCTTTCTCTTAAAAAGAAACCTGCAGAAAGATGTCTGAAAGTCCTAAAACAAACCATATGTCTCAGGCTACCACTGCAGTAATGAGGGCATAGGTAGGGGAAAACCTCTGAGCTGTGATGGTATACAAGTTCACGTGAATCCAGAATGAAAGCTTTCTGTGGCTGCCTGTCTAGAGAACAGGGGGCCTGTGTTTGGCAGAGACCCATCAAAGCCCTCCTCCCCCATCCTGTTAGTGCCAGCCCTCTGGCCACTGGCTAAGTCAGTGCAAAGCAGCACACAGAGCAGCTTTAACTCACCCAGCTCTTCCAGAAACCTGGTGGAGCCCAAGTGTCTGGCTGTTGGCTTGGCTGCTGGCCTGGCCTAACCAGCTCCTCTTTGGTTTGGACTCTGTGCTATGAAAATGCTTTATTTGGCGCAAGAATCTTGTGCCTGTGCCCCTCTTGGAAAGCCATTGTTGAGCATACAGCTAAGTCATTTGTTATTACCAGAGCAGCAAGCCCTGAGGAGGCTCCCTGAATGCTCAGGCAAAACAGCAGCTCTTTCTACCTCAAGGTGTTTGTCTTTCACATGTGAGGGGTCCCTCTGTCTTGTATGCTGATTTCTCTGTCACCATTTTGTGCTGCATCTGTCCCAGCCAAGGGATTTGTAGCAAAAGGCTTTGTAATTGCAATCCTGAGTTGCTCAGTTTTGCTCCTGTCGTCCAGGCTTGTGTCTTTGCTTCTAGCTTCATCGTAGCATCTCTGTAGCGTAGTGCACAGTTGGTAGTGGTGGAGCTGAGCCCAAGGCTTGGATGGGGGAACAGGTTATGGGGCATCAGCTGCCTGTGTCACTGCCTGTGAATACTCCTGCACTTCAGCAAGCACAAGGTAGTCTGAATTAGTGTGGCCCTCTCTCCTTGACAATTAGCTTGAATTATCATGGATTAACATAAACTGTAACTTGTCTACGTGCCCCAACACAAGCCACAGCTAGTGGCTTGCAGCACTTGTGTGAATATTCATGCCTTGTCCCATTGTGACCAATTTGAGAGTTAGCCGTCTTAGCTGGAGAAGGCCAAAAAAAAAAAAAAAAAAATTTTAAAAAGCTCCTGCAGTGTCTCAGCCCTTGCTGACTCTCTCTCTTTTTCTTTTGCTTCCCCACCTGGCAGAGAAGTGCCCTGTGGACAATGCCAAACTGACCGTAGTGGTTAACAACATCGCGGTGGCCGAGCAGATTGGGGAGCTGTTCATTCACTGCAAATATGGTTGCCGGGCTGCAGCCAGCAGCAAGCCCGCTGCTTTCGAGGTGGACCCCCGTGGATGCCCGTTTACAATTAAACTGAGTGCCAGGAAGTAAGTGGCTTGTTACCAGCAGGCAGCCTCTCCGGGAAAGGGGGTTCCACTGCCAGCAATCTGCTCTGGTATCTGTGCTGCTTCGTGGCTCCTGGGGACAGTGCAGCTCCCCTGGTTCTGCCAGAAGTGCTCTGCTGGGGCACACGTGGGTGTGGGAACGGGCAGGGTGACTCGAGGGGACAGTTCTTTCCACTATGTCTCAGTCTTAGCATGGGGGCAGGTGTGCTGGTCTCAGGAAAAGGATGCTGTTCTCTACTCACAGCTTACCTGAGTGTCTCAGCATCAGGACAGGGGATACACTGTGAAAGAAGCCACCTCACATCTGGGGTGAAACACTGTGGCCTTTGTCAAGCAGGAACCTTGTGATTCTTTTTGTGAGAGAAGAATTATCCTAGTTATATCCTGGGTATGTGTTTTCTGAAATCCTCCTTCCCTATCCTAAATGCGTTTGCTTTCTTCCCTGTTACCCAGCCGTTGTCTGTTGTTGATAACTATCTGGAGGCTCAGCTGTCTGGAGGCTCAGCTGATCAGCTGCAGAAGTAGATGCTCCCTGCATAAATGTGGCCTACTATTACTCTCAACCTTCTGGCCAAATGAGAATTTAAAGCTGTAATTGCAGCCTTAGAGCAGAAGGGTTTTGATTGCTTGACAGTCTCACAGAGCTGGTTTGCCCCTCTCCTGATGAACTATGTCATTTCCAATAATTTTTGCTTGCTGCTGATTTTTCCTCCTTTTACTTTTCTCCATGGGCAGAGATCATGAAAGCAGCTGTGATTACAGGCCGGTTCGCTGCCCCAATAACCCCAGCTGCCCACCTCTCCTCAAAATGAATCTGGAGGCACATCTCAAAGAGTGTGAACACATAAAATGTCCCCACTCCAAATACGGGTAAGGAGCTTGTGCTTTATAGTGGGAAGGATGCATTGAGCTCATTTCTGGGCTGCTTTCTGGATACTATGGCTTTGGGATAGCCCCACAGGCTAAGAGTAGCTCTACCCAGTGCTGTGCACTGGCCTGAGACTGAAATTAGGTGTGCAGGGATTACAGAAGCAGCCCCTGAGCCTCTTGTTAAGAACAGGTAGGTCATGTTGCCCAGCTGTAAAGCCTGCTGGCAGCTGAGGAGGTGGATGAGGTGTCTAGGCAGAAGAACCAGCTGGAGGAGAGTCAGACCAGTGGAAGGATGTGGCGGGAGTCACGCAGGGAAGAGGATGAGTACAAGAGTAATGCAAGCACTCTCTTTCAGCTCAGTCCTTCCAGGGCAAGGAAGTGCCGATCAGCCCTAGAGGGTTGATTGTCACCCAAGGAGAGGTGCAGCCCAGGCTGGGGGTTCCCTGCATGGTGCACACCTAAGGTGACTTGCAGGAAGATGTGCCTCAGCAGAAGCAGAGCAAGGCACACCCTGACAGAATAGCCTTGACTCCTTGCCATGCTGCTGGCCCAAGCCAGCACCTGTGAGGTCAGCTGCAGTTTTTCCACTGGTTTTGATGGCTCTTGGATAGGACTCCCAGTTAGCACATGAAGTGACATGATCTTTTTGACTGTTGCCCAAGATCTGCTGCTCCTTGCAACTTCCTGGACAAATGGACAGACAGTTCAGCTTTGGGCAAGCACCCCAGCTGCAAGAAGGGCAGCTGCTTGGCCTCTCTGTTGCCCCGCAGTTACCTGCCCCCAGCAGGGCAGTGAACCACAGTACCATTGCTCCTCCTAAGAGGAGTGGAACAGCTGGGGATCTGCACAGGCATCAGACCTCCCTCTCAGGAATGAGCTGAGTTTTAAGCTCTCCCGGTATGAGCCCTGTTTCAGCCAGTATCTGCCTCCCCTCCTCGCAGGTGTACATTCATAGGAAATCAGGACACCTATGAGACCCACTTGGAGACTTGCAAGTTTGAGGGTCTGAAGGAGTTCTTGCAGCAGACAGATGACCGCTTCCATGAGATGCAAGTGGCAATGGCCCAGAAGGACCAGGAAATTGCCTTCCTGCGCTCCATGCTGGGAAAGCTCTCAGAGAAGATCGACCAGCTGGAGAAAAACCTGGAGCTCAAATTTGGTGAGTTGGCCCGAGCAGGCCCCCTGGTCAGAGCTGTAGCTGTAGAGACAGGGCAGCTCTTTGTTAGGATAGTGCCTTACAGGATTTGTGCCATGTTTCAAGCTGGTGCTGAGCAGATTTCAGGAGGTTCAGATATTCCTTGGGGAGAAATAAGCAGGGGTCCCATGGACTTCTCTGCCGCCTGGACATCATCAGACCTCATCCTGCAATCACTGCTCATAGGAACATCCTAGAAGTGTCAGCAAGTAGCTACTACCTTTTTCCTGCAACTTTTTCCTGCGACATTCATGTGCACAGACCCCCATAAAAATGAGTGAGTGAGAAGAGCTAGCAATGCAGACATGCTGGAGCTCGCATGTTTTCTGGATACCTGTGCCATGCCCAGCCCCCACTCGCCTCTAAAATATGCTGGGTCTTCAGCATCCAAGTACAATTTGCTTTCGAGTAGCAAACGCTCTCCCACTTTTAGCTGCTGATAACACCAGTAGGTTCTGCTCCCTCCTTGTTCAGAGGTTGGGTGGTAGCAGGTGTCCTCCGCCTGTTCCCCTGGGCTCCCTAACTTACTCTGCAGTGAACATGGGCCTGTCCATCTCTTGTAGATGTGCTGGATGAGAACCAGAGCAAGCTGAGCGAGGACCTGATGGAGTTCCGCAGGGACGCCTCCATGCTGAATGTGAGCCCCAGGCTGGCTGGGAAGGGAGATGGGACCCTGTGTTGAGTGGGGATTGTGCACAGAGTTAGCTGCTGGCTGTGCTGCTAGTCAGGCTTCTCCTCTGGCAAGGGGGAGTCTTTGCAGTCCCCCTTCTTGCTGGCTCTGCTCATCCCAGGATTGGTTTGTTCTTATTGCAGCTGGGGTCTATGTGAAGGTTCCCTCTAGGCTGAGTTAGTGGAGCTCCTAAGGCAGCTCAGCAGGCGCATTCTGGGCACTGCATCTGAGTAGCTGTCTTAACTGGTTCAGCTGCCTTTCCTCAGCCTGTTGCTGCTCTTGGGAGAAGTAGAACCATAGCAAAGAACCTCTGCTGTAAAGAGAGAGCCCTGTGCTCCAAGGGTTGGGCACTCCTGTACCTTTCATATTAGCCAGGGACAGCATGTCCTTCTCTCTGCCTGTGGAGAAAGCAGGAAGATTAACTAACAAGCCTGGAGTGAGAGGTGCCTCCTGATTTTGGACGTTATTGTAGCGTTGATGTTGGATAGATGTTCCTATCTAGTTCAGGTGAACTGCATCCCACTAGATGAGGAGGAGCTAGCCCTGGCTCACCTAGGCACACTAATGAAAAGGGTCACCATGGACACAGCAGGGACTGCATCCTGGAGGGGGCTATGAAAAGACCTTCCAGTTCTTCTCCAGAAAGGTGGACTTCAAAAGCCCAATTCAGCAAGCAATCCCAAAACTGATCTGATTATTTTTAGCAGTCCTGTGAATGGCAAAGGAAGGACAGTATTTTCTGAAAGGTGTTTCTGTGCCTGCCTAAATACTGAAGGGATTAGTTGGGGTATGAGATGCCATCAGAACCCCGTTCTCTCTGGAGGGAGGAGACAGTAGGATGTATGCATGCAGTCCTATGGCAGGAGGCCCCTCTGTCCTGGTACCTCCTATCAGAGAATGAGTTGGCTGCTAAAGGGAGGGCCTTCACAGGAAATTGAGACCTGTCCGGAGGCAAGAGGGGTTTCAGCAGTGGAGGGGAACAGTGTTAAAGCCATGCCCTGGAGGGCAGGCTAATCTCAATAGCTCTGCAGCTCATGCAGCTTGTTTTGTCTTCCAGGATGAGCTTTCCCACATTAATGCTCGACTCAACATGGGCATCCTCGGATGTGAGTATGCACACGGTTTTCATTTGCTTGGGCTTGTTTTGGGGTGATGTCCTGGTGAGCTCTTTTGGGCTCAGTCATGGACAAAGTCTAACCAGCAAAGTGCTGGTTGTCTCTGGGTGCCTCAGTGACTTGTTTATAGGATCATCGCTGTTGCAGGGAGAAAATACTGGTGGGAGACATTGGGCCAGAAGCAGTGGCTGAAGAGGGACTCACAGTGCTGCAGGGTTATCAGCTGCTGGGAGGAGGTGTCAAGGAAAGTGATGGGTTCTGCATCTCTGGCCTCCCTAGGTCCAGCCTGGGAGGTGCGTTAGGGAGACTAGTCCTGGGGCTCCAAAGCAGTGGTAACCGGGCGAGCTATGAGGGTGGGACGCATGGCCAGACTGCAAGGGTCTCACGGTTCCTTTTGGCCTAAAACAATAAGAAGCGCGAGGATACTGCCTGGTCCCTGCCTGGACAGTGCTGGGAGATCTCTCCTCTCTGAACTCACAATGTCATGGCTCAGCACCATTCTCCCACTCTTACCTGCTCTCTCCTTTCCTTAGCTTACGACCCTCAGCAGATCTTCAAATGCAAGGGGACCTTTGTGGGACACCAGGGCCCTGTGTGGTGCTTGTGCGTTTATTCCATAGGAGACTTGCTCTTCAGTGGCTCTTCAGACAAAACCATTAAGGTACGAGCTTTGCCTCGTCCGTGTGTCTTTTGCATTTGTAAATGTGCTGCAGGTGGGATAGAAGCTGCGTTCCAGTTCCAGGGGGTTTCACTTCCCAAAGTTCCTCCTCTAATTTTAAATGAGTCTTTGCAATTATAGTTGGGCAAAAAAGTATTTTTCATTTTCTCTGTGAGGAAATACTATGTGATAATGATATCAAGAGACAAACAGTGGCTTTTGTGAAGCCCTGATTAGAATCTGCTGCTCGTGTTTTTGCTTTGCCTGCTGTCTAAGGCATCCAAGCCTATTTCAGCTTCTGATTTTTTTTTATTTTCCCTTGCTTTAAAAAATCTTCTTAGAAAAAATATTTTCCCTGATAAAATTGTTTCCATTTTATGGCATATTTGCTTTTCTTTGTCCTGTTTTCAGGAACTCAAATTGACAGCGCTGCTTCAGTGCAACCAAAATAATAGTTCCCAATGTCATTGTGTTGGCTGCTGGTCACAGTGGTGGCTGCTGGCTGAGCTGGGGAGCTGTGCAGCCCTTAGCCGTGCTGGGACTGCTGTGGCTAGCCCTGCCAGAAGCAGAGCTTTGGTTTAATTTTTCTGAGAGAGAACCAAGAGACAAATGGAAGAAAATGGACATTGTATGGACGGAATGGACATTGTATGGACAGAAAATGGACAGTGCTTCCTGCACTGCCCTGGCTGCTCTGGGCACCATATGCCCAGCCAAGCAAGCACGACATTCTCACATTCTCTCTCTTGAGAGAGCTCTGAATGTTCAGCGGGGATAGACTTTGCAGTAGCAGAGGAGAGTGAAACTGAGCCATTTGAGCCCTAGTGACAGGGTGTGAATTGCTAAAGCAGGAGCCCAGGGGCTGCTTCGTTGGTTCAGTCGCGTTCTCTTTTTTGGCCTGGGGCTGTGGAAGGCAGTGTTGGAGAGGGCTGCTGTGTGCTGCTCTTTAGTGTCACTTGTTAACTTCAACCTGACCCTTTGCAGTAAATTTCCTTTCCTAGACACGCTTATCTCTGCTTGGGAGACAGGAAAACAGGTGCCCAGATGACAGTCTGTTTCCTCATATCCGTGCTTTTGTGGCTTTGCTGACTTCCTGCTCAGGCCCCCAGCTGCTCTCTAGTGCAAGCATGTGATCCTCTGCTGACTTGTGTTTCCTGTTAGGTGTGGGATACCTGTACCACATACAAGTGCCAAAAGACCTTGGAGGGTCACGATGGAATTGTACTGGCTCTCTGCATCCAAGGGTGAGTGGGGCCAAATGCCTTCCCCTGCCCAAGAGAGGGGGGCCACAAGGACAGCCCTGGGGTCCCCTAAGCGTGCCCTTAAATTCTGCAGGAGTTGTCCTGCACGTACCAGGATTGTACATATGTTTTGGGATGTGGGTGGAGGGGATAGGAGGCCTAGCTGCTCACAAAATCCCCAGCCTCGTGAACTTCTTCATGAAATGCCCATCTTGCCTTTTGCTCTTCAAAAATGTACATAGTGCAGATCTCTGTCTTCCTATTCTAGTTTTCCTCCCTGCTCGCCTGGGGGTGCTGGGCCTGCTGCTTGAAGGGCCAGTCCGGCTTGGCATCCCCTTGAGCCCCCGGCTCCATTCCTGGGGTTAGCGTGTTCAGCCTTGGCCCAGTGAGACTGGGAATGCAGCCCCTGGCCCAGCACGGAGCTTGGGAACAAGCTGAGACCCTGCACTCCTTGCTCTGCCTCGCTGACCTCCTTTTGTTTTCTGGTGACATTACAGGAACAAGCTGTACAGTGGCTCTGCTGACTGCACCATTATTGTGAGTACCCAGCACCCCTGCTCTGCTTAGGAGTTGAGATGTGAGATTTGCAGGCCAGTCCCTGGCTGTTGTAGAGCAGGGACCTGCAACCTTTTTCTGTAAGGCTCTGGAGCTGCTGGTGGAGTAAGAATGATATCCCATGTGCGCTTTGTCCATTGCCTTCAGCCAGTTTACCCATGGGTTGAATTTGGGTGTTTCCTACAGGCTAGATTTCCTACAGGCTCCTGCATGGGAGTGGGTGCTCGGAGCTGGGTGGGCTGGGGAAGGGTGGTCAGTCCTAATCAGGCCAGGCCAGTGGCTCCATACATGTGCCCTGTTCTGTGTTTCTGCCTATGTTCTTTGCCTTCAGAAGCAAACAGGGAGCCATCACAAGGGGCCTGCCCCTGCCCCTGCCCCTCACGGGCTCTTGTTCTTCTCCTTTGCAGGTCTGGGATATTCAAAACCTGCAGAAAGTGAACACGATCCGAGCACATGACAATCCTGTTTGCACTTTGGTCTCCTCGCACAACATGCTGTTCAGCGGCTCTCTCAAAGCCATCAAGGTAGAGCTCTGAGATGGCTCCTGCTGATCTGGTTGGTGACTGATGGTACAAGCTTTCAGGCAGCAGTTCCCAGACAGGAAGAAAATGGCATTTGGGTCTGTAGGTGACCTTGTTATTACACTGTCCTGAGCTACACAGAGAAGCCAGCACTGCAGAGATTTAGCCAGTGCTCGGTGCTGAAGGCAAAGATGTTCCAAGACCTGGGTGAAAAAAACTCTTGTTTCTTCTGAGTCTGCAAGTTGAGACTGCAAGTGGAGTATATTGGCAATTCCTGGGTGTGTGTTTGTTTGGGCCCCCGACAGATTTGCTCAGGCCATTGGGAGTTGTTCCAGGGATCCAGAATTGGCTGGGGGTTTAGGCTGCCTGTTTTGAAACACCTTCCAAGGGGTCTTGAATCTGCATTCTTTTCCTAACGCATGTGGAAATCAGGGAGCAGCTTTGCAAGTTGCCCTTTAAAGTCTTGGCCAGATTCCCTTGGTTCTGCTTCCAGCTCCTGGTGAGACAGCTTATGGGACTGTTCCTTTGTAAAAGGGTGCATGCTCTTTTCTTTATTCAGGGCCTGAAGTAGTTCAGCTCTCTAGAGAGTGCTTGGGGACTGGAGGAGCAATGAGACAGCGCTGTACAGGAGAACGTGGGGCCTTTCGTTTTTGTCATCCCCAGCCCCTTTTTACCCGCTGAGCAGCGCAGGTCAGCAGCTCTGTTCAGAACGGTGGTATCAGACCCTTCAGTCTTTTCCCTGTGTGCTGGGGGGGCTTGGTTGGGGCTTTGCAGGAGCTGTGGGAATGCAGCCCTGCATTGTAGGAACATGTGAGGAGCAGGAATGTCAGAGCAGTTCTTTACTGTGCAGATTTGGTGTAGGTTTTCAAGCCCGTGGCTCTGCTAGGGAAGGCTCTCTGCAAGTGGTGATGCAGGCTCCAAGCTAGCTCTCTCAGGCCCTCTGGGAACATGCTTATTCAGCACAGTTATTGTATGTTTTATCTGTAAGCCAGTGGGTTCAGCTGATTCCCACAGGGCAGGAGAGCCAGGGCAAGGTTCCACTTAGTGAGCTTTTGTGCTGGCTCTGTGCAGAGGTAGGCAGCGGCCTGGCCTCGCGAAGCTGGCCTGTTGTCTAGTAGCTGACTGGTTCTGTACCATCGCTGCCCAGTCCCACTGAGACTCCTGTGCGTGTGTTTGTGTGTGTGTGTGCGCGCACATGTCTGCTTATGCTTTCCACAGGTCTGGGATATTGTGGGTACTGAACTCAAGCTGAAGAAGGAACTGACAGGTCTCAATCACTGGGTGCGAGCGCTGGTGGCTTCTCAAAACTATCTCTACAGCGGATCTTACCAAACAATCAAGGTGGGACTCTCAGACTGGTGGCAGCTGTAAGCCATCGGCTCTCCCTGTGCCTGTAAATGTCTGTATCCTGCAGTAGGGGTTGGTTGTGCAGGACAAAAGGCAGCTGCTAGGATTCGAGAGCCCTGCTGTAGTGTTGCTGACACACTAGATTTTGCTGAGGTGACTGCATCTTTGCAGGCTTGAAGGCAGGACTTTGGCTGGTCCTTGTGAGTGCGGCTGCTGGGGGATGCTAGCTAAGATAAACGTGGCCTCACAGCCATGGCGCCTCTCGCACTGCCTCTGCAGCTGCCGCAGTGTTATCTGCACTGACAGTCCTGCTGATAAGAGGAGAAGGTCACTGTCTGGCTGCAGAGTTACCATAAATCTGTGTGTGGTTTCCGAAATGCTCTCATCTGTGCTGGCTCAGGCTTTGATGAATAGTTCACCTCTCAGCATCTGGGTGACACTGGAGAATCTGAAGCTTGTCTTCTCAGTGTTAATAAAGCCCTATTAATTTGTCTGCATCAGTTTCCAGTGCTATCAAGGCCTGGTTTGTGCGTGCACGTGTGTGTGTGTGCGCATAGTCACTCACACAAGGCATGCAATCTCGACAACTTTTTCAGCCCGGCTATTCGAAGTTGGGCAGCTAAATAAGACAGCAGGACTTCGCTAGTCAGTGCTGAACGTTCCCAGCTGGACAGATTTGCCCTTGAAGACCTCAGCTGGGCACCCATTGAGCCAGATTAACTGCTCACATGGCTGGAGAGTAGCTTCTTAGCTCTGAAATTATTATCTCCAAGGCTTCTGGAGGGAAGCCTTCTACACCTTCAGTTTCTCCTGACTGAAAGAACCTGTGCTGCTTCTTACAATTCCTTTCCCCTCACTCTGCAGCTCTCCCAGGAAAGGGATCATTGTATTTAATCCAGCTTTTGGCACCAAGACGTGATGATGTGCCAGAGAGCAGATTGCAGCCAGTGCTTGCCCAGGCTGCCCCCTCACTGATAGGGTCCAGCACCAGCTTCATGGACTTATCACTGTTGCAGATCTTGGTTGAAGGATTGGTTCGTTGATGGTAGAAGTTACTGATCCCTACCCACAGGCAGAAAAAGTTTCACTGCTCGGTGAAGACAGCCCAGGAGGCTCTGCTCTCTTAGTCTCAGTGCTAACGTAAGGAGGCAGCTTCCTTCTGCAGAGGGGTTCCTGCATGGGTTTCATCCTGCCTTTGCTCTGGTGGCTCTTTCAGATCTGGGACATCCGGAACTTGGAGTGTGTCCATGTGCTGCAGACATCAGGAGGCAGCGTCTACTCCATCGCTGTGACAAACCACCATATTGTGTGTGGCACCTATGAGAACCTCATCCATGTAAGGGCTGTGGGGTTTGATGTGCTTGTTGGCCTGGGGCTGGGGGAGAGGGATGAGGAGATGGGGAGGCTTGGCCCTGCCAGTCCTCTTTGCGGTACACCCAGAGCATGGGTACGCAGCACGTGTCATGGAGATGTGGGTCAAGATGGACACGAGTCTCAGAGGAGAAGTTGGTGGCCTGCAGCTTGGCGCAATCTCTGAGCCTTACTGTCCATCCTCAGGTCTGGGATATAGAGACAAAGGAACAAGTCCGCACGCTGACCGGTCATGTGGGTACGGTCTATGCCCTGGCTGTCATTTCCACGCCGGATCAAACCAAAGTCTTCAGTGCATCATACGACCGGTCTCTCAGGGTATGTGTTTAGGGGGGCACCCGGCCAGGTCTGTGCCATTGGTGCTGTTGGGAGAACACGTAGCCTGGACGATGGGGAATCCTTATCCCTGCATGCCACGTGGCCTTGCATACAATTCGTGTCACCTGGATTGAACCCTGTGACACTCAGCATCTCCCTCCTCACCTGGTGCTCGGGTTTGGGCTGGAGCCCTGTGCCTCTCACTTAGGGTGGCACTTGCTCACGCCTCTTCTGTCCCCATAGGTGTGGAGCATGGACAACATGATCTGTACTCAGACTCTGCTGCGACACCAGGGCAGCGTCACTGCCCTCGCGGTCTCCAGGGGCCGCCTCTTCTCCGGCGCCGTGGACAGCACTGTAAAGGTTGGTTTTCCCAGGCTTCTCCTGGAAGGTTCAGTCTCTTCCAGGACTGGAACTAGGGCATTAAATGAGTTAGGAGCTGGGTTTGAAGAAACAACATGGGGATGGTTCTCAATGGGCAGAGGGTGTTGTGGATGCTGAAAGCCCACAGGGAATCGGCACAGCTGATGAAGAGAAGCCCGCAAGGCTGCTCAGTACGTCACTGCCATGGGTTCCTGTTGTCTCTCCTCCACAGGTCTGGACGTGCTAGTGAGAGTACCACGCTAGTCCTGCACACTGAAAGACCAAAAACGCCTCCCCTCCATCGGCCTGCTGGGTGACTAACACCACTACGAAATAACTGCTGCAGCTCCTGCCCCGCACCGACCACTGCCTGCTGCCTCCCGTTGGCCAGTCTCCCCACCCGTAGGGACCCCGACTGGCAGCTCCCAAGATGGTTTTGGCCCGAGGATCCCCAGATGTCCCTCAGATCTGCCATATTTAACTGGAACTGTAGCAGAAGCTGGTTTGGTGCCAAGGCCGCCTTCTCCACTGTGTCTCTTCCTCTCTACAAGTGGGGAGCATCCTCTGGAGTGAGGGGGCTGGCTGCGAAGCCAGGGCTCCAGTCCACATGCAGCCCCGTGCAGCACTGGTGCGAAAGCAGTGTGGCTCTCGGCCGACGGCAGGACTGAACGGTTCAGCTTGTCGCGGGCAGGAGCCGGCCTGTCGAGGGGGACGAGCGCTGGGATGCTGGTCCCTTTGTAAATGGTAGAACTATTAGGCCTTGCCCTGGGTTGGGTCCCCAACCCCTTTCTGTCTCTAGTATTTAATTTTACTGCCAAGATGTCAGGCTGATCCATCTGGGAAGAGGTGTTTTCTTGAGTAGCCAGGTACGATTTTTATGCCACAGCTAGTTCTCAAATCAAGTAACACAAGTCCATTGTTCATCACCCTGTAATAATGGTCTCCACATTAAAGAGAAAAAGCCTCCGTTGCATTTTTACTCACATTTTCTACTGTTTTTAAGATTGTAATATAGATTTGATTATTTCTTCATTGACAATAAAAGTGGAAAGAGTTGTTCCTGGCTAGCGTGAGTTATTGCGGGCCCTGTGGCAGGGCCCCGGGGGGGGGCCGGCGCGCGCCCGCCCACCCCCTGCTTTCCAGCCCCAGGCCCTTCCAGCCCGGAGCTGCTGCCAAGAGCAGTGCTTAGCTCCTCTGCGCCGGGCCCTGGAGGGACAGCGATGGCAGCGGCTGTGAAAAATGAGGCTGGTGGTTGCCTGCATGCTTTTTAATTTCAGTGATTTACCTCCTTCTCCTGTAATAAGCGCGTTGATGTCTTTCTCATCGATACACTGTAAAACAACTGCTGCAGTGACCTGAAGCGTCCCCGGGCGCGAAGCTGGGCGAGCTGGTCCCCGAGAGGCGATGCTCATCTCTGCTCCTGCCGGCGAGAGACCCACTCGGACGAGAGAGGCCAGAGCACCACGGCAGCCGGGACCGACCACAGGCGAACCCCACACGCGGCAGGGGGCCAGAGCGGACCCGGCACCGAGGTGGGCTCCAGCGGGGACGGCGGCTCCCCCCAACAGCT